GACAAGAATTTTCGTAACCACCAGTCTAATCTTCTACCCGGCGAAGCAAAACCAGCGCAAGGTTCAGTAGCTATACTGTTACCAATTACTGATTGATTACATTGATATATAATTCTCGGTATGATGTCCTTGGATGACCTTGGACATTACGATGTTTTCGGTGTAGGAACAGTGAAAGGTTACCATTTTTTTCCGGAGTAGGGGCCACACCCATACACTTTTTCCAAATATATAAATATGCTGAATTATCAGGAGCATGTATCGAGTTGTCCAAGGAACAGCAAACATGGCATTCAAAGTAAGTAAACGTGTATTTTTCCCAAAGTGTAACGTTTTGGGACTACTTAACACTTAAACCATAAATTTATTACTTGACACATGATTTATAAAAATTTTATTCCAGTTCGTAGTCCTCGCCGCTTTGGTAGCTGTAGCTAATGCTGGCCACTTAGGTCTTGGAGCTATTGCCCCAGCTGTCGCATACGGAGCTCACGGAGCTGTCTCCACCTACTCCACCGTCCAGAACCACGCTGCTCCCTTGGTCCACGCCGCTCCATTGGCCTACGCCGCCCCGATAGCCCACGCCGCCCCAGTAGTCCACGCCGCCCCCGTAGTCCACGCTGAACCCTCCGCCCCAGCTCACTACGACTTCGGATATGCCGTCAGCGACCCTCACACCGGCGACAACAAGCAGCAACACGAATCCAGACGTGGAGATGTCGTCCACGGCAGCTACTCTCTTCTCGAATCCGACGGCAGCAAACGTACCGTAGAATACTCCGCTGATCCCCACAATGGCTTCAACGCCGTCGTCCATAAGGAACCAGGTGTACACCCCGTTCCTGTCGTAGCCCATGCTGCCCCTGTTGTGGCCCATGCCGCCCCAGTTGTAGCCCACGCTGCCCCAGCTCTTGCCCACTCATACGCTGCTCCAGCTCTCGCCCACTCATACGCCGCTCCAGCTCTTGCCCACTCATACGCCGCCCCAGCTCTGGCTCACTCCTATGCTGCCCCAGTTGTAGCCCACGCCGCCCCAGCTGTGGTTAGCAGTTACGCCAATTCCGTGGTATCTCATGGTGTAGCTGGCCCATACGCTCATCATGCCCCAGTGCTCGCTCATGGGTGGTAAGCGGCTACATAGTTGAATGCTATACCAAAATATATTTAATTGTTATTGAAATATTTATAAAATGTACCACAGTTGCGAAAAAAAACAAAATTTTAATCTAAAATGAAAGTGCATTATTTATTGAATTATTTCTCGATAAATATGGGAATGACTGTGAAAGTTAAGATAAAAGACATATTGAAAGTTCTTAGTGCAAACGTCTACGTATTTACTGATAGTTTCAGAAAGTAACAATTTTCAATTGTTTTATAATGAGGTTCTGACATATTTTAAGACTTTTTTGGTCATAATAAATATGCTTTGAAGCTAAACATATTCAGCGTTTTTACAATTTGTGGAGAGGAGGGTACTAAAAATCGAGGTACTAAAACTAGAGTGGAAGGAATATTTTTTGCATACAGAATATATTTTTTAATATCTACGGACTTATCACAATAATACGAAAAAACATTTTTGGAACCGCTTGCTACACCGATAGCGCGGCTGGTCTGTTTACAAGTGTCTATACAAATCGCTGTACATAAAGATGTGGTAATTCACAGTTTTCATCAACTAAAGCAAAACTCCTAAAGTTGTGCTTTCTATAGAAATCAGAGCAAAAAAGTGGAAGGCGTGCTATCTATGGCCATTCATCTCTTTTTATGTAGGGAATGATTCCAGAGGTTCTTAACAAGTTTTAACAAATTTCAATGTTAATAATTTTAAGGATTGTTTGCAATTTCAACGGTTGTGATTATTGAAAATATTTACTATTGATATATTCTACATACAATTAAAAAATGTTCTCCAAGTTTGTAAACGTCCTGTATATTTAACGTACCATTAACTAAAAATCAACTGTAATTAATTTCGTTATTGGGCTGCCCTGCACAACCAATCACTTTCACTGAAAGAGATTAGAATGACAATTGCTAGTAATCGCCTTTGTGATCACGTTCTGACTTTGACCTTGACATACTAGACTTAGTGAAGTACACGTTTTGAAAATTAACTAATTATTAAATTTGACAACCGTAATTTATAGAGAATATGTGACACGAATTAACTTGTATATTAATCATTTTTTTCTTAAATCCTGCTCTTCTACAATACAAATGAATAGGTAATTACTATTTTTAAAAATAACATGATATTGCGTTATTAAAATTTGACGCATCTGTTTGTAATACAAGGTGTTTTTAAAACAAGGTACCTGAGTTTGGAAATAGCAAATGTCATTTTAGACAAAATATTTTCAATGAAGATGGATTCAAAAACGAATAGAGAAAATAGAGTGATAATTGTGGCCAAAAACATGTACGTACTATATACAGTGTGTCCACGGATGTTGACTCTATCGAAAAATGTCACTCTTTATAAAAAGTTCTGCCTCTCGAAAAAATGAGGCTGTCATACAAACATCTTAGATTAGATATACAGGGTACTCATAAATTAAAAAAACACGAAAATACTCAAGAGAGAAGTACCATTATTTATTATTTTGAACAACATTTTTATAAAACAAATCTGTTTATAACCTCAAATAATGCCCTAATACAAATAAAATCAAAATTTCAATTTTAACATTTACATGAGTCCACTGTACATCCACATTTTTTTTTTGGATAAGTTCTGATTCACCCTGTATACAGAGTGGTATCTTATATCGTTATCTTTTTTTTACACTAGATATCGCAAAATGTTTCAAATATTTTGCAGGCAATTTTTTTAAATAAATTTTATAACAAAAATAAATTTAAGTTTATCTTACTACATTGTCATTTAAATGGTCATTAGTCAGAGTTTGTATAAATACATAAATACATTCATTTATGTACCTATATACCGGTGATGATATGCTTTATTTTATAGATAACTACCTTCATTTCCAATGAGTTAGAAGTTTGCTTGATGGCGCAATTCAATAAATGTATGTATAAAATTTTTTTCTGACATTTAGGAACCCCCTGTGTGATAAGTTCCTGCCACAGACACACAACTTCACAAATATGTGTTCATGTTGTGCAAATACTACTGTGGCCAGAACCTATAGAAGTTTATTTTTCGTTTCTTTGCGCAATTGGGATATTTTCTTGCTGCTAATTATTCTCAATGAAGTCATTACAATGTCCAACATCGGAAATCTAGAATTGTTACGACATTCATAGATGCTTATCGCCTTCTAATTCAATTTGCGACACTTTTTTTTCAAATGGATTCAGTCAAACTCAAAGGAGTGGTCGGCTTGTCTAGACGATATGCAAAAAGCTTTCACCTGTTCAGCAGGTCTAGTAGCTATTTCTGGTCAGGTACCTAGTAGGAAATTAAACTGGGTCAGTAATCCTTAAATTATTTGCTAATTTGAATTGGAATGAAAACAGAATCGTCCTTCAATCTTAAACTTTTATCAAAAAGTATGGTTTAATAGTAATCTTATCAAAAGTGAAGTGAATTCTTTTTTATCATGTAGATAAAGAAAAATTCGCTTCACTTTTGAACTGTTGCCTATCATAATTGTATTTCTTTAAATAATTCAACACTATACAATTTTTAAACACTTAATAATTGACCATACACAACTTTGTAAAGCCAGTAATATTACCCGATATAATTCGTTCTTTTTTTTTGAAAGGTAGATCTCAAAGCACTCTTTCACTTCATATGGCGTTTGAATTTATTATCAGTAGAATTCGGGGTTTTCGTCAGCTATTCATAGGCATGTTCGGCGTAAACAAATAAATAAACAGATAAGTATAAATAAAAATACATAAATTTGTGCACTTTATCAGCGAAAGGTCGCTTTTTACCCCATTGGCGCGTTCGACATTATTAAAACACATATAAACGAAGCAAACGCGAAGCCAATAACTGCCGTTATTACCGATTTCGTACGGTGCGCTGTAGCGAAAGGCCGACGCGACGGCTATGATCATCCGACCGAGTCCCGAACTCTAATTATGTTTCAAAATCAATTTATTACTTTTTCTTGTCAACGATTTTTTTTTATTAATCTTACACCGCCTTAGATAGGTTTGTACTTTTCTTGAAAAAGTATTCACTGCTAACTGCAAAATTAATATTAATTGATATTTGTAATTCTTTTTGTTATTCGTAATTATAATTAAATAGTTCACGTTGAATATTAAAAACAAGAACATTTTATGTGTTTATTCATGATTTCATAGATTATTCACTCTGCATGGGAATAACAGAAATGTTAAAAACTAATAATATTAATATTACAGTACAATTAAGGTGGTGCACAATTCAGTTAAATTAAAAAAAAGCTAACTAATTTGTTGTCAACTTTTATAAGAGAAAAATGATAAGCTTTAATAGACAAAAATAAATTCAAAACCCATGCGACATAATACAATTTTTTTAAGTTCAATCTTTTAAAAGAAAACAGTTAAATCAGACAATAAAAATGTCTTTTACAAAGGTGTTCCCACTTAAAATATTTTTATACTTATTGTGATCACCACTGTCATATTTTCGTATGAACTCTACACACTCATAGAATGTGAGTGGTAAGTGAATGACTGCCAATTTCTACCGAAAAAATCAATGATCTGTGGAAGCAAAAACGAAATTTTAGTTAAAACTATGTATTCTAGTAATATTAATGTCCCAAAATCACAGGTTCTTTCATACGTAATTAGTTGTTTTGGTAATTGATTGCCCAATTTGTGTCTAGCATAACTGAAACATACTGACATACATTCCTTAGTTCAATGCCAGGAGGTAGGAATATCGTATCACGAATTACATAAGGTACTCAATATCAGTGAAAGTACTTCTAATTTTGAGTACCACACCCCAGCTTTTCGTCCAAATATATAAAGCACCTATGTCGAACCATCAGTATTATCAGTTCAACGATTGAATAATCATGGCATTCAAAGTAAGTAGAGTGATATTTCGGTGCAAAGTGTGAATTTTTATAGTGAAATATAGTACTACTAAGTTTTTTTTTCGAAATATATAAGCGAATAAAAATTACTTGAGCGTTATCGAATTCGCAAATGAATTAATTTAATATCATGTGTTTCTCATTTAGATATTTTTTTCAGATTGTAGTATTCGCCGTCTTCGTAGCCGTTGCCCGTGCAGGAGTCATCGGTGTAGCCGCACCCGCATACTCCGCCGCCCCAGCCGTCTCCTACTCTAGCATTTCCACCCCTCATGCCGCCCCTGCTTTGTCCTACGCCGCTCCATCCCTGTCCTATGCCGCCCCAGCCTTCAAAGTCGCCGCCCCTGTTGCCTACGCCGCCCCCGTAGCCAAAGCCATCATTGCCGAGCCCTCCGCCCCAGCCAACTACGAATTCGGATACGCCGTCAACGACCCTCACACCGGCGACAGCAAGAGCCAGCAGGAAACCCGCCACGGAGACGTCGTCCAAGGCAGCTACTCTCTTATCGAAGCTGACGGTTCCAAGAGGGTAGTTCACTACACCGTTGATGCACACAGCGGTTTCAACGCTGTAGTTAGCAGGGAACCCGGTGCGGTCGCTGTCAAAGCTGTTGCCCCAGTCATTGCCAAAGTAGCCGCCCCAGTCGCTTACGCCGCTCCGGTGGCTAAATTCGCCGCCCCAGTCGCTTATGGTGCTGCCCCTGTAGTGAAATACGCCGCAGCCCCAGCAGTGTCATACTCCAGCATTTCTGCCCCTCTGGCCGCCGCCCCTGGATACTACCATCACTGAACCTATCATTCATGATCTCGACTTATTAAATTGTCTGTAAATATGCCTAATTTATTAAAAATTATTTATTTCTAAAGTTTTTATTTTTATTGTCATTACATCAGTTGTGAAATTGTGCAAACATAGATTTATCTGGCAATTAAAATTCGATAGTTTAAAAAAGACGGTCGTACATATCACAACTTTAAGATAATTAAAATTGAATCATCAGACTATAAGATTGCATTGAACATATTATGTCCTGTCCAAATTTTGTTCGTGCAACTCTTTTGCTTTCGACAATGTTTGTTTTCAGCCACTAAAATTGAATGTTTTCAAATATTTCGAATTTTCACCACCAAAAACGGCGGTGACAACATTTTTAACATTAAGGCGATGTTTCGCATTGTATTAGCTATGTCCTGTCCAAATTTTGTTCATACAACTCTCTTGGTTTCGACAATGCAATATCTATGCAGATCGCATCATTACGTATGTTTCTACCCTTGTTTCAGCGAAACTTATTCGCGGCGGTGATAAAATTATTTAATCTGAAGAGACGACCCTTCGACATCCATTGATATACAGCAGAAAAAGGGTCCTAATTAATGCATATTACTGTTTTCTCTTGATTTTTGTTTCCTGCCTTTTGTTGATTAACAAACTTAAATTTTCTGAAAGGAGTTATGAAACATAATGTGTTTTAACAGTGTTTAACAAATCCATGACAATTTCAGTATTTTTTTCCCGGAATTAAGTGAGACTGACGAATTATATTAGCTGTTTACTAGATAGTGCGAGTGTATTTCACTGCTGGTTGGGCCTTAGTCAGCAGAGCAGTTGTATCTCAGAATATCATTAGTGTAATGTTAGGAGCGATGTTAAAGGAAATCTAGAATGAGATTTTAAACTTTAACTTCAATATTTGTGGAGTAGTAATAAATTTAAAATTGGATGTATTAATTTTATTTTCTGAAAAAAACTTTTCTTTGAAATTTGTCGATTGGAAATGGATAATTATGTAGTTTGTGAAAACTGAAATATTTTTAATACCCCTACTAACTTTTCAATATGCCGGTAATATTCTAATTTATTAGCTTCATATAATAAATCGTCCATATTATACAGGGTGTTCTTAAAATCCGTCAGGAAACTCCGAGATTAAAATAATAGCAGTATGTTATGAATATTTTTTTCGACTTGTCAATTGTTTACAAGTTACAGCTTGAAAGTTCNGAGCGATGTTAAAGGAAATCTAGAATGAGATTTTAAACTTTAACTTCAATATTTGTGGAGTAGTCATAAATTTAAAATTGGATGTATTAATTTTATTTTCTGAAAAAAACTGTTCTTTGAAATTTGTCGATTTAAATGGATATTTATGTAGTTTGTGAAAACTGAAATATTTTTAATACCCCTACTAACTTTTCAATATGCTGGTAATATTCTAATTTATTAGCTTCATATAATCGTCCATATTATACAGGGTGTTCTGAAAATCCGTTAGGAAACTCCGGGATTAAAATAATAGCGGTATGTTATGAATATTTGTTTCGAATTGTCAATTGTTTGCAAGTTACAGCTTGTAAGTTCAATTTTATTAATTTTTTTATTTAAATAACTTATTTAATTCAAGTTCTATTAGTCTCTCATTTGGCACATCCACTAAGTAGATGAAGCTCTATTGGACCAGTCAGAGAAAAGTTTCATTATTCACCGCTAGAGGGCACTTTACCTAGAACTCAAAATTTGTTTTGTTCATAACTTTTTTCTCTTGCTAGACATCACATTAATTTAAACATTATTGAAAAGAGAAACAATATCAGAAAAAATTATGTGAAACAACTAACTAGAAATTTTGAGAAGATATTGCAAAATTTTCATTTTCAACTTGAAATTTTCAATTTGAGCTTCAAATTTAGAGATTTTTTTTACTATATTTCGCAAACTAAATCTTATTATACAATACAATTTTAAGTTTGGACATGAAATTTCGAATTTGACCTATATATTAGTTAATGAAAAAATGTTTCTTTTAAAACTTAACCTAACCCTTTGAATTCCTGGAAGCATTAAAAAAGGCTTGTATTAGAAATAATCAACAACGAAGTCATTGCAAGAAGACAAAAACAAATATTTTCGAAACGTTAACAACTTTTTGAAGTCTTCGATGTATAGTGATGTTTATTTTGTAATTGTCTGCTTATTTCAATTTGAGATTTTTGGTTAGGTAAAACTATTTTCATAAAAATAACCATTGATTGATTTTTTGGCGTAAAGGTTTATTTTATTATTTTTTAAATAATTTCACAACATACCTAATTAATGAAAAAAAAAATCCGAAATCTTTCTCGGCGTGTTTTGTACAGACTGCATTGCACTATGTCCGAAAAATGTCAAAATTTAAGTGACTTTTAACATATTTTCTTTCAATTGTACCCCTCCAATTACCTGTATCGGCGACACTGCTTTTAAGAAGCAAACCGTTTGCACATTATTCTTAACGGACAGTTGATATTTACTCGTGTACAAATTTTGACATTTTTATCTTTAGCCGATTTAAAGGTAATTAAGGAAAACCATTTAGATAGTAACAACTTCAACACACTGTATCTTGAAAACAGGGTGTCTAAGAAAAAAACTTTATTTTTCCATGAGGAAATTGCACACAAGTTTTTTTGAAACATGAACGGGACACACTGTATAACGTAGTTTTGATCCAACGATCCAAACCAGAGTAGAAATTTAAACATTATTGAAAAGAGAAACAATATCAGAAAAAAATATGTGAAACAACTAACTAGAAATTTTGAGAAGATATTGCAAAAATGTTCATTTTGAACTTGAAATTTTCAATGTGAGCTTCCAATTTAGAGATTTTTTTTACTATGTTTCGCAAACTAAATCTTACTATACAACAAAATTTTAAGTTTGGACATTAAATTTCGATTTTGAATTTATAACTTAACCTAACCTTTTAGGCGACGAATAAGATGCGTGTTGTAATTTCAGCATTGCTCATAGAGGGCGCCACTTACGACCAATTTTACCGAAAATTTAGTTAATAACATTTTACCCTGTATGTCTAACATGAAACTTGATTCAAAACCTGAAGGGACAATTAGTTTTCCATTAATTGTGTATCCTTATTTCATTTCGGTATCTCGATCCGTTTTCGAGAAAAATCGATTTAACGAACACTATGTTTTGATAATACGAGAAATTAAAAGCGAAACAAACCAAGTGTTTCTTCGTGTTATTACAACAATTAACAATAAAACAAATAAAATACGTAATTATGATTTAAAGTAATTGTTCGAAGAATCCACCGTTGACACTGATACACTTTACACGTTTTCTGAGAGATCTTCGAGTTTGAAACAACATATTGGGATTGCGTCTGACTTCGTTGGCAGCGATTTGTATTCTTTGCCACAACTCTTCACACGAACCAATAGATTCTTCCAAATAGAAAAATGAAGAGGATTGAAGTCCGGACTTCTGGGTGGCCAAGTAAAAATGCTTCCACGGCTTGAAGAAGTTCCACTTTATTTAAGAAGAGACATGTGGTTCATGCACGACGGAGCTCTACCGCATTTTTCTCGGCCAGTGCGTGCATATTTAGATGCAGTTTTTCCAAATCGCTGGATTGGCCATGTAAGCATTTTTGCTTGGCCATCCAGAAGTCCGGACTTCAATCCTCTTGATTTTTCTATTTGGTCTCGAATGAAAGATATAGTTTACAAAGAATCTATTGGCTCATGTGAAGAGTTGTGGCAAAGAATACAAATCGCTGCCAACGAAGTCAGACGCAATCCCAATATGTTGTTTCAAACTCGAAGATCTCTCAGAAAACGTTGTGTAAAGTGTGTAAATGTCAACGGTGGATTCTTCGAACACTGACTTTAAATCATTATTACGAATTTCATTTGTTTTATTGTTAATTGTTGTAATAACACGAAGAAACACTTGGTTTGTTTCGCTTTTAATTTCTCATATTATCAAAACATAGTGTTCGTTAAATCGATTTTTCTCGAAAACGGATCGAGATACCGAAATGAAACAAGAATACATAATTAATGGAAAAATGATTGCTCTTTCAGGTTTTGAATCAAGTTTCATGTTAGACATACAGGGTAAAAAGTTATTAACTAAATTTTCGGTAAAATTGGTCGTAAGTGGCGCCCTCTATGAGCAATGCTGAAATTACAACACGCATCTTATTCGTCGCCTAAAAAAATATAGTTTCACAAATTTTCAAGTTCCTAACCTACATATTTTCAGAATAATCGCAAAAAAACGATTTCAAATTTTAACTTTCAACACCCTGTATTTCCGAAACTATTAACTTTCGGATAAGGCATGTTTGCGCCAATGGTCACCATTTCACGTGCAGTATCTTCACCTTTCGACTTTCCCATTGTTAATAAATCACCCTGTATAGGAGCAAACAGAACTACTACACATGTTTTAAAATAACCATATATTTATAAAAATATAAATTAATTACACATATGTACAGTCAATTCAACTATTTGGAATTTGAAAATCAGTGGTGGTAGTACGCAGGGGCGGCGGCCAAGGGGGCAGAGATGCTGGAGTAAGACACCGCTGGGGCTGCGGCGTATTTGACTACTGGGGAAGCAGCATAAGCGACTGGGGCTGCGAATTTAGCCACTGGGGCAGCGTAAGCGAATGGGGCTGGAGCAACAGCTTTGACGGCGACCGCACCAGGTTCCCTGCTTACTACGGCGTTGAAACCATTGTGTTCATCAGCAGAGTAGTGTACTACCCTCTTGGAACCGTCAGCTTCAATGAGCGAGTAGCTGCCTTGGACGGTGTCTCCATGGCGGGTTTCCTGCTGGCTCTTGCTGTCGCCGGTGTGTGGGTCGTTGACGGCGTATCCGAATTCGTAATTGGCTGGGGCGGAGGGCTCAGCGATGATGGTTTTGGCTACGGGGGCAGCGTAGGCAACAGGGGCGGCTACTTTGTAGGCTGGGGCGGCGTAGGATAATGCAGGGGCGGCATAAGACAGGGCTGGAGCGGCGTAGGACAAAGCGGGAGCAGCATGAGGCACGGAGATGCTAGAGTAGGAGACGGCAGGGGCGGAGGAGTATGCTGGGGCGGCAACGCCGATGACTCCGGCACGAGCGACGGCCACTAAGGCGGCGAATACTACAAACTGCAACAAAATAATTTATTAGTTTTATTTTGGACACTTAATAACATAGAACAATTTATTTTTCGACAAATTGCACGAAGCATTTAGTTCTATGAACATATGAACTTACTTTGAATGCCATGGTTTGTCGAACTATTCAACTGATAACGTTGGTGGACGTTGGGTGGTTTATATACCAATTTTAAACGACTGGTAGGGTAATAGTACTTTCACCAATTTGTTGCGGTACAACTAATTATACGACCTGGCAATGAACTAAAAAGGATGCCATACCTGTGCCAATACGTAGGTATGCTACTCGCATTACATTTTTGTATGCATTTTTATTCCCGATTTAGATTAAATATAGAAGAATATCCACAATATTTTACCAGTCGCATGTTTTTAAAATATATATATTTCCAAAATAAACCTATTGCATTGTAATGTCAATATTTATGTGTATACAGGATGTCACAGAAAACAATGGTAAAAATAAATAAATTTATATAGACTGATAAAATCTTACTCTCGAAATGTTTTTTATTAATATTTGAGGGCATAGCCAGGTGATATCTGATTCGAATTTGGTACACGTTATAAGAACACAGGAAGAAATAAAAAATCTCTTCCAACGTTTCTTTAATTCTATCAGTGGCGTAAGAGAGATGTGTGACTCTCACTTTTTGAAAATGTTTCCAGCGCCTCTCTAGGATCTCTTAAGTAAAACAACATCATTTCTGAATGATTTGTTGATTACACGCAAAAAATGCCTCTTGCAATTTTTTCTTCAAATTGCTACATTTCCAATAAATAAATATGATTCAATTTACTGCTTCGAAAAAAAAAATACGAACATAAGATATTAAATAATATTATAAAATAACTTATATTCCTAAACGTTCAGATAATGTATCTAGATAGTTAGTTTTAGAAAATAATAAAAAAGTTTCATTTAAAAATGAAAATAAAATGTTGGTTGTAGATTTTACAGCAGATTAAAAATTAAAACTGCCTTACAATTAGATCGAAAAGATATCTTGTGAAGATTATAATAAAAATTAAATAATTTAAGTTTAAAAGAGGTCTTTTTGTTTGTGTTTGTAAATATCATTTATACAGTGTGTCGAGAAAAAGTTATTCCTGATAAAAAGTTTTGCTTATCTTGGGAAGTCATGGGCAGTAATCAAATATGTGATAAAATACATAGGGCGTCCTGAAAATTTCAAAATGTGAAATTTTCTCTAAGCAAAGTGTCCTTAATTTTTGTTTTCGTTAAAAACTATATTTAACTAAGTTGTTCGAGAACTCAAGAAATGCTTTAATATGGAGTTTAGTCAAAAAAGAGCAATAATCATATTTTGCAAATAAAAAGACGCCGTAATTTTTAACTATCTTACATACCTACTATATAATTACTTACCACGGATATTTCTTTATCAATGTCAAAGTCAACATATTTATTTTTACTGCCCACGAATAATTTTTATTAATAATGCTAATCCTGGAGCAACGAATTTATCTTGTGAAATGTTATGAAATCGGTAATGTTTCATATCGATATGCAATACAAATTGTGAAAGGAATATTTAAAAGATAAAAAAAGAATACAATGATAACGATGCTGCTACTGTTATAATTATGGACAGGACGATCCAAAGATGTCACTCAGAAAAAGGTCAGAAAACATAGATATTAGCAGATCTCATATTTAAGATAAGATTCAATGATTTAATATTTAAGAATCTAGCACTGTGGTTAGAGAAAAATAAACTTATGTTAAATGTAGAAAAGAACAAGATAATGCTTTTCAGATCAAAACTTTTTAATATATCTTTAGTTGACGGAATAACAATAGCGAATAATTATGTACAATTTTGTCAATCAGCAAGATTCCTCGGTATGTATCTTGATGACAAACTCGATTGGTCTCCTCATATTAATTATCTGTGTCAAAAATTGACTTCATCTTGTTATGGCTTGAAATCCCTTTCTAAACAATGTAGTCAACATGTTTTGCTCTCATTATATTATGCAAGTTTTTATTCTCATTTACGTTACGGCATTATTCACTGGGGATTATGTGGATCTAATAATAGGGTAATCGTTATACAGAAATATGCCGTTCGTATTCTCGCAAATTTAAGGTACACAGATTCTTGCAGAGAAGCTTTAAAAAATCTTAAAATTCTTACTGTTACCGGCGTTTATATATTGGAGGTGGTATGTTTTGTTTTTCGTCATTTAGACTTATTTACGAGAAACAACTTAAACCATTTATATTGCACGCGAAATAGGCATATTTTGTGTTCCGAACGGCATTATTCGGCGTTATATCAGAAAGGGGCTTACTTTAATGGTTGTCGCCTATACAACTCCTTATCAATCGATATTCGTAATTCAAAGAATATATACACATTTAAAAAAAAAGTTAGAGAATATCTAGTTGCTATCTGCCCCTACAATTTAGAGGAATATTTACNGAGCAACGAATTTATCTTGTGAAATGTTATGAAATCGGTAATGTTTCATATCGATATGCAATACAAATTGTGATGTAAGGAATATTTAAAAGATAAAAAAAGAATACAATGATAACGATGTTATATTACATAACTGTTATAGTTATGGACTTTGTACAAGACAATCCAAAGATGTCACTCAGAAAAAGGTCAGAAAACATAGATATTAGCAGATCTTCAAACCAGTGTTTAATCGTAAATTGCTTGGAGATGACGGTCGTCGTTTGGACTTTTGTTTGACAATGGGCGAGAAACTGATTGAAAACAGATTTTTTCATTACAATATTTTATTTACTGACGAATCAACTTTCACAACTAACTAATAGCTATCAAAATTGAAGATACAGTTTCCTTCTGCTTTAAGTAAGAATGATAGTTAAAAATCGCGTTTTCTTATTTGAAAAATGTGGTTATTCTTCTTTTTTGGACTAAACCCCGTACTTAATCATTTCTTGTGTCTGGAACAATTTTGTTAAATACAGTTTTTAACGAAAACAAAAATTAAAGACACTTTGCTTAGGGAAAATTTCACATATTGAAATTTTTTGGACGCCTTATGTTCTATTACATATTTGATTACTGCCCATGGCTTCCCAAGATAAGTAAAATTTTTTATCAAGAATAACTTTTTCTTGAAAAATTAACAATAAAAATGTTTTAGTATACACTCGTACTTAATTAAAATTCTTCCTGACATCTTTTTAAATAGAATTATTTAACCATTTTAGTGTAAGCTATAATAAAGCCATTTTTTTCAAATAAAAAATACTACATTAATTTGCAGCGTATATACTTAGATGTAGTAATATGATATTAAATATATCTGAAACGAACAAAGCAGGTAGATACTTTCAAATTAAATAATAAATATATTTATAAAATAAATAAATAAGACATATATGTACAAATTATTTGAGATATTAAATTCAAATTTAGTGGTAGTATGCTGGTCCGGCTGCGTATCCTAATGGGGCAGCTAATTTAGTCACTATTGGGGCGGCTACTTTGGCAACTACTGGAGCAACGGCTTTAACAGCGACTGAACCAGGTTCCCTGCTGACTACAGCGTTGAAACCGCTGTGTGCGTCAACGGTGTAGTGAACTACCCTCTTGGATCCGTCAGCTTCGATGAGGGAGTAGCTGCCTTGGACGACGTCTCCGTGGCGGGTTTCCTGGTGGCTCTTGCTGTCGTCGGTGTGGGGGTCATTGACGGCGTATCCGAATTCGTAGTTGGCTGGGGCGGAGGGCTCGGCAATAATGGTTTTGGCAACAGGGGCGGCTACTTTGAAGGCTGGGGCGGCATAGGACAATGATGGAGCGGCGTAGGACAAAGCGGGGGCGGCATGAGGAGTGGAGATGCTAGAGTAGGAGACAGCTGGAGCGGCTGAGTATGCGGGGGCGGCTACTCCTATGACTCCAGCACGGGCGACGGCTAGGAAGGCGGCGAATAATAAAAACTGTAATAAAAATTGTTATTAGTGTCATTTTTTCAACACTTCACAATATTATATAGTCCAATCTCGTTACATAATGCATTTGATGCTAGAAACACTTGCACTTACTTTGAAAGCCATGATTTGTCCAATTCTTCAACTGATAATGTTGGTTGACGTTGGGTGGTTTATATACCAAATTTAAATGATTGATAGGGGTGTGGTATTCTAATACTTTCACCGATTTGTTGCGATACAGCTAATTATATGACCTGGCAATGAACTAAAAAGATCCATACTAGTTCCAATACGTAGGTATACTATTACCTACCCACATATTTGTCTGCGTTTTATTTCCGATTTAAATAAGTCAGGTTTTTAGTAAAAAAATATTGATTTGGTTAAAGTTAAAGTTTTTACTAGGATAAATATCACTAATAGGGTTAAGATTAAAGAAACACTATCTTTAATTCACTGCTAACGCTTCAGTGTTGTTTTACACTCTAATTTCGGGGGTCTTATGCACTTGTGCAAAATTTAAAAAAAGAATTTAATTAATAAAATTAATTTTATATTTAATGATACTTTTAATTGTATATTTTAAATTTCATATAATACACACCCGACAGTCAAACCTATTTAATGAATGGGAAAAACATCTAATAAAAACTTAAAAGATAATAATGAAGAAAAGTACATAAAAAAATACAAAAAATATGAACAGGTAATAAATTAAACAAAGATGAAATGTCAATCCAGAGACACGTATTAGTTTTTAAGAAATTAATAAAACACTGGAAAATTTTGTATTTTATTAACATTATTTTCATTATCTCTGAATTAAAGAGGCTATATTTTTTAAAGGACAACCTTCTTCAATAAAAAAATACTTTTTCAATATAGAATAGGATAAACATTCAAAATATCTTAGAAGAGTATGATTATTTTGTAAGCAAAATTGTAAAAAATAATTTTTTTCTATTACAAAAAAGACATTTTGTAGATTAAAGTTCAATGTTTGTAAAGAAATGTACCTACTCCACTGGACTATCATCTGTCTTTAGGAAATTTTATGTTAATCATTGACTCTCTTGCAAGTTTGGTTGCCTAACATTCGCAGTCACGTGGGACTCGAGCATTTATGAAGACACTGTATAATGATGAAATTCAAATAAATTTGTTCTAGGAGAGGAGAGGGAAGATAAAATAAAGACCGAATGGCAGAGCGCAAAATATGGAGACAAATCAATTATTATCATCTAAGCTAAATATAACGTGATATTCCAAGTATTTTACATATTGTCGTTGAATATTCTCTAACTTATTAACGCGAACCTCACAATTTGACTTCCATAAAGGGAAAGTATATTCTAATTTAGGGGGAATAAACACATTGACACTGGCTTAGTTCGTGTATTTTGTTGTGAGTTTTTGAAAATGGAACATTTCCTAATTGAATTATCGTCATCTGCATAATTGCATAAAATAAGTTTAGATTTCTTGGTGAAAGACATCGAATTCCAATTCGAGAAGTTTAAAGGTAATAAATTCGTAGTGCACTAATGAAGAATTTTATCTAAACTAATGCAAAAAAATAAAGGGTCAAAAGAAATTTTGAAATTTTTTCGTGAATTTTGACAGACTGCATTTAGGTAAAAAATCGGTGATTAAAAAAAGCATCGTGAAGCTCTAAGATTCTAGTTTTTAGATCTTTCGGTCGAAATTTTTTAGGAGCTACAGTCATTATGCAATTCTAATAGCGCGACAAAAAAATTTCGCAATTTTTTTTTCCGAGTCTACGGACTTGGAAAAATTTTTTTAGCTAAGCCATTGCATGGACCAGATAGCTTGTTTATTCAGCTTCAATTTCCTTTTTTTAAATTTCGATACGACCATTTTTCATCGAAATATCGGACTTTTAAATGAGACAGGAAATGGGGCAAATGGTCGTACAGAGAATTGAGGGCAATTTCGAAAACCGGAATAAATTTCCTGACATGCTACCATAACTTTTCAAACTTTTGAAAAAAATTAAAGGATTACGTTTTTTGAGTTTAAATACTTCATTATCATGATTAAAATGGAAAAAAATGTTTCAAGTTTTCTCACTTTTTTATCGCAAATAACGTTTAAATTAATAAAAATAAATAAAAAATTTTCGATAAATTTTTTTTTGCTTTTTTGGAAAATCTTCATTGAAGGAAACAAAATCCAATTGTCTCCAGCACGATTCGGCTTTTCCGTCCTATGCTTCTGTTCATCAACTTTTAATTAAATTAAAATTTAAGTTGTTTACCCAAACCAGATTTCGACCCCGATTCATACCGTGTTTTGAGACAAATTTCTAATTAATTTTTGTGCAGTCTGTAATCACTTAAAAACAGTTTTTTTTCAAAACTACCCTTTCCCTTTTCTGAAAAAAATTTATTTTTTTTTTCATCAATTTAAACGTTATTTGCTGTAAAAATGTGAGAAAACCTGAAAAAAATATATTTCCATTTTAATAATGATTATGAAGTGTTTAAGCTCAAAAAACGTGACCTTTTAATTTTTTTCAAAAGATTGACTGTTTGAAACAATGAAACGGTTCGCTAGATCGAGATGAAACTTCACAGGGTTCTTTTGGGTATATCGAACTGTAAAAGTCATGCTCAACATTAGTCATTTCGTGAATATTTCTAATTTAGAAGTCAATTTAAAAAAAAAAACATAAATTACCCTTTCTTCCTGTTTTTTAAAATTCGTGTAAAAGATGAAAACATTTGTTTTCCGAAAATTTGCGGCAGTACGTTATAGGAAATTTATTCCAGTTTTCGAAACTGCCCTTCAATTCTTTGTAAGACCATTTGTCGCCGAGATATCGATAAAATGAAGACAAAAGGAACCTTTTCCATTAAATTAAAAGTCCGATATTTCGATGAAAAATGGTCCTATCGAAATTTAAAAAAAAAGGAAATTGAAACTGAATAAACAAGCTAAAGAAAAATTGCAAAATTTTTTTAACGCGCTATTTCTTAGAATTGCATAGTAGCTCCTAAAAAATTTCGACTGAAAGATCTAAAAACTAGAATTTTAAAGCTTCGAGATGCTTTTTTTGAATCCCCGATACGACGACCATTTCTTACCTATAATACAGTCTGTTAAAAATCACGGAAAAATTTCGGAAATTCTTTAATTTTTTGCATTAGTGTATACATATGTAAATCAACTAAAAGTCAATCACTTAGATATGTAACATATAAATCAACGGTAGAGAAAAAGAATGTTATAGTTTAGAGTGAAAATAATATCGTTCATAAAAATTAGAAATAATAAGGGTCCGAGAACTGATCCTAGGGGCACTCCTGAAGTAATGTTGATAACTATCGATCGGAAATTATGGTACTCCATTAATAATCATAATTCTCAATGTTGTAACACCATAACTTTTTAAAAATTTTATAACGAACTCAATTTTGCAGTAAAAAGTGCTATCAACAGATATTTAATTAAAATTCTTCTTACAGATAAATAAAGTTTTCTATTATAAAACAGTGCTTAAGCATTTCACATACTATAAAGCATTTAATTTTCAGGAAAAGGATAAAATGCATTCAAAATAAATATATTTATAAATAAATTAGACATATATATAGGTAATTCCAACAATGAGCTTTAAATCTAGTGGTGATAGTATGCAGGAGCAGCATAAGCGACTGGTGAAGCGATTTTGGCCACTAACGGGGTGGCAACTTTGGCAACAGCTTTGACGGCGACCGCACCAGGTTCCCTGCTGACTACAGCATTGAAACCGCTGTGTGCATCAGCAGTATAGTGCACCACCCTCTTGGAACCGTCAGCTTCGATGAGGGAGTAGCTGCCTTGGACAGCGTCTCCGTGACGGGTTTCCTGCTGGCTCTTGCTGTCGCCGGTGTGGGGGTCATTGACGGCGTATCCGAATTCGTAGTTGGCTGGGGCGGAAGGCTCGGCGATTAGGGTTTTGGCTATAGGGGAGGCATAGGCAACAGGGGCGGCTACTTTGTATGCTGGGGCGGCATATGACAGGGATGGGGCGGCGTAGGACAAAGCGGGGGCGGCATGAGGAGTGGAAATGCTGGAGTAAGAGACGGCTGGGGCGGCGGAGTATGCGGGGGCGGCCACTCCTATGACTCCAGCACGGGCGACGGCTATGAAAGCGGCGAATAGTACAAACTGTAACAAAAATGTTGAATTAAAACCACAATACGGTGTTAAATACTGCTAAATTTTACGTGGATATATTTTATATTTCTCGTTATACTTAGGAACATTTAGTAACTTACTTTGAAAGCCATGGTTTGTTCAATTGTTCAACTGTTAAAGTGATAAGGTTGACAGGCGTTGGGTGGTTTATATACCAAACTTATACGATTGATAAGGGTGTGGTGGTCCAGGTACTTTCACCGATTTTATAGTGTGATATAACTAATTATTTGACCTGGCAATGAACTAGAAAGAATCATGTATGTATACGTTTATTGTTATACACCTACCTTAATTAACTTTCAAAAATGGTTTAATTTTACGTCTGAAGAAATATTTATACATAATTAAAAGTAGGCGGTGTAGGTACCACAAAATTTTTGATATTTTGGTGAAGCAAACTAATAAGATCTTTTTGAGCTAAACGTCTGTTTGTTGTGTTTCTTTTTTAGATGAATTTAAACAAGAATTGGTTAAAAGTAAATAAATATGAAAGGAACTTTGATAAATGAGTAAACTAGTCTAAATTCTAAAAAGAAATTAAAAAAGCGAAAGTAGAAAGTCTAAGTTATAGTAATAAATAGGTCATAATGTCGATTGGGTTCTCCCCTCGATCCCATTTCGAACAGAAGAGTGCGTCGAAAAAAAAATTCACAACAAATTCTTATTCACATTTTATTGTCATTTTGCAGCAATCACTATATGAGTAGTACACATTATTTGAAAACATTGCTATGAAAATAAATCAATAAATCAATTAAGTTGAAATTACAAGTAATTTTATTACAGTCAATAAAAGTTTTAAATGACAAACGGATGTAATACAAACTACAGGTTAAAAAAAAATACGTAAAAGACTAGTAGGACATTAAAGGCACTATAGGATAATTAATACTGCGTTGATAAAAAATTAGCAAAAAGAATTTGATAAAAAATCTCCTTTGTTCCGACCCGAAAGAAAAAGGGGCAAAGCTGGGCAAAATGTTATTTGTTGAAAATAAAATTTTTAAATTAAAAGATTTAAAATCTACACACTAATTTATGTTGTGTTTTCCTGTGGTCGATGCAAACAACAGAATTATACTCTTAGCCCCAGACGATTTAATATAATGCCTGGAATATAAAACGAAAAAAGAAAAAATGTAATTATCTATTAATACAGGACAGGTAATCAAAAATGTTAAAGGGGGTGACAGTTAACAGGTTTGTACGACTAAATTACTTTCTGCCTGAAGAAATCGATCTTACTAAATCGTAATGCAGAAATACAAGATCTCCGGTTGCCTCTAACAGAATAAACGTCTTTAGGGTCACGGAAAAAAAAATGAAAAAGTTACAGATCTACTTAACTTCAAAGCTTAACGAGAAACAAGTTCACGTTTGTCTCTTATTTATTTTATTTTGAATAATTTAAATTTTCTTGAAAATGTTTTTCATTTAGTTGGGAACAATATCTATTTTATCATGTATATGTATAGTGGTTTCGTATGAAATGCAAATAACAGATTTTTGTAAAGGAAAAGTTTCAAGATTGATTTGCTTTCTATTTACATTTATTGATTTGTTGCTTAACAATAAAATTAGACATTTTTTGTTGAAGAAAACTTCTAAACAAGTAACACGAATTATCATTGGCTAAATATCCCCTGGGTGAAGGCCAAAAAAAGAAGAAGAAGAAGAAGAACACGAATTATCATCGAATTTCGAAGACGCATTGTTTATTCTTGTCTTACGCATGTCTATAAGCTTATCTCTCTCCCCGTGTCTGCTTCTTAACTTACTTTTTCTCGAGCGTCCTTTCTTATAGGCCAAAATGGTGTTATGTTGCTTGTTTTATAACCAATGTATTAATTTATTTGATATAGCTTATTGTTTCAATAATTATTAAATGTGCATTAGTAAAAATGCAATTTAATTGTTGTATATACATATAACACGACTAGTGAGTTTGATTTTTTTTTGTATAAATGATAATGTATAATTGTTAGTTAGTCTTGTATGTTTTTATTATACTTTTTGACATAAAGTTATATTATTTATAACATTATTGTGATTTATATTATAACTGTAAATGATCCGAATGATGAATTTATATAGTAAATGCTTTTGTATTATGCGTCAGTTCCAAAACCAAGCATTTATAATATTTTGAAAGAAGAAAAACATACGGAGCAGTACAAGAGTCAAAAACAAGCAGTAGTGGACAAAAATTTTGCTGTGGATGGAATAGCATCGACTCGCGCAATAGGTACATTAAGGCTATCCCTTACCTCTGTGAACTGAATCCAAAAATGTATTAGTATGGGCGCAAAAAGAAAAATTTTTTTAAAGAGGAATTACAAAGATAAGTAGGTACAGAAGAATGGAAAAAGTGTATGAATTATGTTCAAGCAAGAGCAAAAATTGGGGACCTAGATATTAAAGTCAACCAAATTGTAATCATTTGAAATTCTGACAGTGATAGTGGCGGTGGCATAACGGTGATAATACTGGTGACATGGATTTTGGCTGATAATGGTGTGGCATCAAGGATTCGTTTTTATTTTAAATAAAAAACATTTGTATAATGTGTTTATGTTTTTGTTATAATTGAGCTTTGAACATTTTTTAATACTTAATGAAAAGTTTAGAAATGATGTTCATTTTAGTTTCTAATAACGCATCACTATTATTTATAATTTTCATGGTGTTTAAAATTTTTATCTTTGAAATTACCTCAGCATTCCTGCATTTTGCGCAGCTGATACGCCAATATCAATAATATAAATTAATGAATGAGTAACATAAAGAGAATTTAAAGTAAAACATTAAATTTCAAAATAAATAATGTATTTTCAACAAATTATGCATATTTACAACAATTAAACGAATTCATTTGGAGCTGTTAGTGGTGGTAGTAAGCGGGGGCGGCAGAATAAGACAATGCTGGGGCGGCATAAGCTACGGGAGCGGCAACTTTGGCGATGACTGGAGCTACGGCTTTGACGGCAACCGCACCAGGTTCCCTGCTGACTACTGCGTTGAAACCGTTGTGGTCATCAGCGGTATAGTGAACTACCCTCTTGGAACCGTCAGCTTCGATGAGGGAATAGCTGCCTTGGACGGCATCTCCGTGACGAACTTCCTGCTGGCTTTTGCTGTCGCCGGTGTGGGGGTCATTGACGGCGTATCCGAATTCGTAGTTGGCTGGGGCGGAGGGCTCGGCAATGATGGTTTTGGCTACGGGAGCGGCGTAGGCAACAGGGGCGGCTACTTTGTATGCTGGGGCGGCATAGGACAAAGCTGGGGCGGCGTAGGACAAAGCTGGTGCCGCGTAGGACAAAGCTGGGGCAGCATGAGGGGTGGAGATGCTGGAGTAGGAGACGGCAGGGGCGGCGGAATATGCGGGGGCGGCTACACCGATGACTCCAGCACGGGCGACGGCCACGAAGGCGGCGAATACTACAAACTGTAACAGAAATACTCATTAGAATCTCACTTCACAGTACATTCACTTAATGTTTTAAACAAATCCAAACAGCTCTTGTAAATTCACTTAACACGGTCACTTAACTTACTTTGAAAGCCATGGTTCGTTTAATTGTTCAAATGATAATGTTGATTGGTCTGCGGCGAGAGCTTTATATATGCAAGCGATTATAGGGCGCGTGGTACGATTTTAAACCACAGATACTTTCACGCATTTTTTATGTACGTATGATGCAACTCATCACACAAGGATACGATCTGGCAATGAGCTTTAACCGTATAAGAATGCTCATCTGTCTAGGGATATGCATGCAAAAAATTCTAAATGTGAATACATAGACAATATAGTCATTATGGAAAGCAAGATTTATCTGGATTTATATCGTTTTGGAACGTATCAAAAAGGAAAATTGAATTTATAAAAGGGAATTTAAAGTTAAATTAAAGATAATAGGTACAGAAAAAATGCAATTGAAATTTTTTGAAACTGAATGCTGCAGGAACCAAATTTATTAAAAGCGTAAAGTAATAAATTGAAATTAACAAAATTTTACATACAGATGCATCTTCAATTTTCAAATGTCGCATTAATATAGAAAATAAATTCATATCACAAATGTAATTTTTTGTCTAATGCAGCAGAATCATTTGGCAAATGTGGTCGTAATATAAAGAGCTATTTACTTTGGATAAAAAAATATATTGTTTTTAGAGCACTTGTTCATACTTCAATTTATATCTACATAAAATGAAAGTTGGCGTATCAGTAGATACTTTCAGTAAACAATTCATTTGTATTTGGATATCAATCAAAGGATAAAAAATGAAAATGTATAGCGGCAATACAATAAAACAACAAAATTTGCTGTAAAAAATTGGAAAATATTTGTAGAGAATTATGTAGAACTACCTAAGCAATTGCAAAGAAAATATTTATATAAAAAAATGATTTAAAAGTGTTTAGTTTTAATTGGAAGTGAAAGTGAATATACGACAAACCGATATTCCAAAATCTTGATGGAAATGTATAGTATCTTGATGTAAAACAAGTCTCAAAAAGTTATAAAGAATTGGATTGGTTAAAAAATTCCAAAATGGATTCAAACACAAGAGGTTATCATGACAAGTTATTACAACAAAATGAGAAACTTAACAGAAGACTGACAAAAGCAGAAAATAGGAAGACTTTCTTGATTTTAATTTTTATATAAAGAAAAATATTATAACACTCGGTTATTATTGTTTTTTTTCTGAAGATGGGAAAAATCCCGAAACGATCGTAGTAAAATCTTTTAAAAAAGAAAAATTTGTTTCACAACAAATTATTTATTTGTGACCTGTTCTCCCAGTAAATTAATAGTTACTCTATAAATATTTTCGTACTAAATGACATTCCAGAAAAATTTAAGATACGTCAGTCATACATACGTTATTTTAACGGTTTTTCAACCATCATCTTCAAAAGCCCAAAAGGTCAGTGATGACAATAAAAATGAAAATTCGTTGAAAGTTGAAGAAAATAAACTCCAAATATTGTCAAAAGTAAATGATAAACAAAGAGAGGAATTATACAACTCATAATACGAGGACAAGATTTATTCTTGGGACAGAATAAATTCGAAAGAAAGCCAAACAAAAAAAGCACAAACGAGATACCGAGTAATTCAAATAATCATCAGAAATATACTAGGATTAGGAATAGATTAGGAAACAATAAACTGAGTTTAGTTTTAAGAATCTCTGTACTAAGTTAACTAATGCAGGGCAATAGGTTTTCTAAAAAAGCAAATAAAAAGTTACAACCGAGTGCGTGCTGGAAAACTCGTTAAAGAGATGTGAGCAGTCTCAAATTAAAAGCAAAAAAAAATAAAATAAGTAGAAAAATAATATTTTAACAGCACATTAGAAGAAATAAAATATATTAAGATTTTGTCTCGAATTATTCATTTGTAGCATAGTTTTCCTTTTTTTTAATTTTTGAGTATTTTGCCACCAGGAGAAGAAAATAAAAATTAATAATAATAATATCTCTACTCCTCATTCTAACTACGAGAATTAACCCAGAAGTCGGAGACTTGTGCGGGAGAGGAGGCGGTATATTATTATTGCGCAGGCCGCATTTGCGCCCAGGAACGACTTATGTTGGTAGGCCCTAACCACCATTCAGTGCAGGAATGAGGGAAACCTGGAAAACCTCATTAATTAGGGGGGTGGTCAAATGCCAACCGGTGTCAATCTCTCACATTGACCCAAGCCAACATTCTTCCACCCTACCATACCTGCACAGAGGGTGCCTTTTGCCTTCTGAATCTGTAATAACTTTTCAGTTTTAATTATTTTTGACAATTTAAATTTGTATTTTTTGCCTGTTTCCAAAGTTATAGATATTAAATGCTGTGTATTCAATTGTTGCAAGTTTTAAAATTTGTGGCAAGTTCACGGCATAATTTGAAACACATCTTTCACCGTTCACAAAATAATTGTAGTTTCTTTAAATTTTCTGTTAACGCTATTATTTTTATTCTCCAAAATTTTGGCCAAAACCCTATCGATTTATATGATTGTTTTGCCCAGTGTGGTCGTAAATTTTTAATTTATGAAATTCTCCTTCTTCAGTGTAATCTTTTCGCTTGTCTATTCTAATTTTTACAGATCGAAAGGTATCTCCAATATAATGTTTTCAGAAAGACGAAGACATATTGATTTTAGAAACATTAACAATTTTTTCAGGTGAGCGAAATATCGTAATGTGTAGTTTGTATGTATATGTTTTTTTCAGTTTGAAATTCATTAATATTTTAAAGTAAAGAAAAACAATTTAAACACAAATTTTATTATTTAGTACTTAGATGATAAGCTGTAATTCTCTAAACTAACTAATTCTTTGAGAAATAAAACTGTTATATGGTAATTACTAATAAGTCTTAAGTTTTACATTCTATTTTCTGATAATGTACAATTCTTTCGAGTATTTATAACTTTAATGGTATTTAAAATGTCTAGAATCGAACTATTCTGTCATTTTGCTAAAGCTGTAACGAAAATTTCTTTCTAATCTATCTGGAACGTCCACCTCAATAATAAAAACTAATGAATGAGTTACTTAAAATTAAGTTTAAAGTAAAACACGAGATTTTATAATAAATAATGTATTTTCAACAAATTATGCATATGTACAACAATGAAACGAATTCATTTGGAACTTTTAGTGGTGGTAGTAAGCAGGGGCGGCAGAGTAAGACAATGCTGGGGCGGCATAAGCTACGGGGGCGGCAACTTTGGCGATGACTGGAGCTACGGCTTTGACAGCGACCGCACCAGGTTCCCTGCTGACGACTGCGTTGAAACCGTTGTGGTCATCAGCGGTGTAGTGAACTACCCTCTTGGAACCGTCAGCTTCGATGAGGGAGTAGCTGCCTTGGACGGCATCTCCGTGACGAACTTCCTGCTGGCTCTTGCTGTCGCCGGTGTGGGGGTCGTTGACGGCGTATCCGAATTCGTAGTTGGCTGGGGCGGAGGGCTCGGCAATTATGGTTTTGGCTACGGGGGCGGCATATGCTACAGGGGCGGCTACTTTGTATGCTGGGGCGGCATAGGACAAGGCTGGGGCGGCGTAGGACAAAGCTGGTGCGGCGTACGACAAAGCTGGGGCAGCATGTGGGGTAGAGATGCTGGAGTAGGAAACGGCTGGGGCGGCGGAGTATGCGGGGGCGGCTACACCGATGACTCCAGCACGGGCGACGGCCACGAAGGCGGCGAATACTACAAACTGTAACAGAAATACTGATTAGAATCTCACTTCACCGTAACACTCACTTAATATTTTGAACAAATCCAAACAGCTCTTGTAAGTTCACTTAACACCGTCACTTAACTTACTTTGAAAGCCATGGTTCGTTTAATTGCTCAAATGATAATGTTGACTGGTTTACGTCGATAGCTTTATATATGCAAGCGACTATTAAGCGCGTGGTACGATTTTAGACTAGGAGTACTTTCACTCATTTTTTTGTATGATGTAACTCACGATACAACGATATGATCTGGCAATGAGCTTTGAGCGTATAACAATGCTCTTCTGTTTATGGACACATAAAATTCTGAATAAGAATAGACATAGCCATTACTGAACGCAATATTTCTATATTTGTGTATTTTGTTTATATGGATTTTTATGTTAATTTATGTTTATTCAGACTCTTAATCTAATTTTACATCGAGATTGTTAAAATCACCACATCAATTAATTTATATTTTTTATCATTTTTTTATACAAGGTTAGTAAAATTTGGCATAATTCTTGTTCATTTACACCCAAAAAGTATTTAGCTGATAACAGTGACAACTTACAGAAGAGTTAATTGTGACAACTGGCATGACAGCAGCACACTTAGTTTTTCTTTGATTGATTGCAATCATATACGGTGTGCGGTGAATGGTAATACATTTTATTTGTTTATTAATAAACGAAAAGTTTTAAAGGAAAATTGCTAGAGAGGTAAAAGTTTCTAAAAGAACCAGTTTATCTAATGCGTATTTTTGGAAATCGAGTTTTTACGAAATATAAAAGTTATGGCAAAAAATGGCTTGAGGGGTGGTTATTTCAACCCCTTTCGAGGTGTTAAAATTTTCGAAAAATAGTTGAAAACTCGCATCTGTATTAGTAAACAACCTGAAAAAAATTTTTTATTTGTACCTCGTTCGGTTTTCAAATTACAGCCAAATTTCATAATTTTTTTGGAAACTTTGATGGCCCATATCTCTTCAGGGGTGAACATTTTACTAAGGCGATTTTTTGCAGATCGTGTTCGTTTGAAATGTAGATTCACTGGTATAATTTATGCTACTCCATTCAAAAACACCCTGTATATTTAGATACCTGTTTTCTGATTTTGTTGAAACATTTATTAATTTTAGTAGTAAAGTTATTTTTTTCCAAATCTATCAGCTATGGTATCATATTAACTAATTTTAGAACGTACTAGTTCCTTTCTATTTTATTATATGTCAGAGAAAAGGCGATTCCTTGACATAAAGAGATATACATCTTTAATATTAAAACAGGTGCATGCCTTAAAACTTTTACATTGGTCTTTGTTATTTGTCTGACGTACATTTTACGAGTTCCTCTAACTCGAAAGCTATGTCATAGCGCCGCATTTAACCTGAATTAGGATTTATTTCAGCGCGAAATGAAACTATTATTTTAAATTCTATAAAATGGCGAAGGTGCTAATGCTAAAAGATAAGCATTCGCATTGTTACTCTATTGTTTGTCTTAATTTCCAAACTTTTTAAATAAAACAATCATTAATTAAGGTACTACAAAGTACACAGGGTCTTAATGTCACTGAGTATGCATTATACTTTACAAATGTATAATGTAATAGTAATTAGTCAACAATTCTTATAAATACTGTAAATACCACACCCACAAAAAAAAGTCTTATGGTTTTGATCAAACTAGTATATGTTACAGTATTTTGAGGCTCTGAATCCGAATTCACTGTCAGAATTGCGCTAGAACGTCACATTATTTTCTAACCTCAGAAAATAGGTCAAAAATTGCAAAAATAGACGAAGAAGTATGAGAAAAAACAACAACAAAAATTATTTTTCACATTTCTTAGCTATATACAATTGGACTCGCTGAATCCAAACCCATCTTTAGAAATCATACAGCATACCTCATTTTTTTCAAATCTCAAAAAAATCGGCCAGAAATCGAGATTTGCAAGAAATAAACAGAATCATGAAAAATTTGGTATGTAGGGGTTTCAGATTAATGCTATATTGGGTCCGTGGGGGTTTTTAGGTTCGCTAATCACGAATTTGGATTCAGAATTGTAAAATTCAACATGGTGGATCCAATACGGGGGACGAGATTTTCGAAAAATCAACAAATTAATCCCGAATTGGATCCTGGGGGGGTTTTGGGGGTTGCTGATCACGAATACGAACTCAGAATTGCAAATTCAACATGGTGGATCCAATATGGCGGACCAGAATCCAATATGGTTGATTTTGTGGATGAATATACACATCTTCAGATATAGATGGCTTTTTTAAAATTAGCTAATATTGCATTTGTTACATTGCATTTGTTACATTGCATTTGTTACATGCAAATAAAAAGCACCAAAAATTAACCGTATTATCAGTTATCAGAAAAAAGTAAAATTTATGGCATGTCCAGGAAATGGTGGGCAATCTCTGGGATTTGGGTAAGTCTTCTAAAAATAAATCACAAATTTATCCGTTTTGTTTTCGGTAGTATTACCCCGGAAAAAAATCTAAATTTTATTTAGAATCAAAGAGTAATACCGAAAAGATAGATATGATTTTTTTTTATTTAGTCAATTAAAAACCAAATGAGCAAAAAATTGTTCAATAATGGTTAAATTGAAGTCATATTAGATTTAACAACTTTTGTGCTGACATGCTCAGAGTAGAGTAAAAAGTCACTGATTGGATAGTTAGCAGAAACTCTTCGAGTAAAACTGCTCACTTCTGCCTCGATAATTTCACTCATAAAATTTAAGTTGTACTTATACTAAAAAAGTGAAAATTGCACTCAATTGGGTGTGGACAGAAATTGATACACTTTTGAATGCCATTTGAGTGAAAATTCTCTGTCTTTAGTAGAATGTTTGTTATAAATCGCGTTTCAAAAGCCAATTTAAGTTTGCAGAATTTAAACGAGAAACATTAAATATTTTGTCAATTTAAATACTTCATTTTAAGAAGTATTATTTCTTTTGCATGATGAAACCGATGATATACAGGGTAGCCCATCGAAAACGTACCGCAAGGCATTACAGGGTAGTAATGAACTTTTCGGCAAAATCCAAAAACAGGTAAAGTTTGCTTCTGAGGGGGACAACTTTTGGCGCAAAAAGCATACCAAAATCTTCAACCCCCTAAGTGGGGGTGCCATCCCCCAAATTTTTTTAAATGGGAATGGGGGTCAAGTGGGGGGTCATTAGAAAGGGCTTTTAATTCTTTATTCATCGATTCTTACTTTTTGAAAATCGATCCATTATTTTAGAAAATATGCAGCTTTGAAAATACGAACAATATTTTTGACGAGAAATGCGAAAATCGATTTAACTTTACTTCAAAACTTATGGTACTCACAGAAATATGTAGTGCACTGTAAATAAATCGGTCTTTACTGTCTTTTTTCAAATCCATTATTCTCTTATAAAATGTTTAAAAATTTTAATTAAACATTTTCTATTATAGGTACTTATGTTTCTTTTTTTTTAGCAATAGAAAATTGTACCTCAATGAAATTATAATTAAAAATTTTTTGTAAATAATTGATTTTTGTATGTATTTTATACACCTATAATAGAAGTACTAGTACTTTAATACTTATTTCAAATTTTATTTTGCTTCATATTATTCTTTACATATTCTAGTTTTGTATGCATTTTTTTACAATTTCGTTTCAATTCTCCCCCCTCTCAAACACACTCACAACATAATGAAAAGCAGTGTCGATTAAAAACGTTTTATTTGCGAAAAAATTCTACCTACGAAATAAATAATACATTCACAAGTAACAAACAAACAAGGACCTTTTGCATCCTCTAAACAACCTAGTGGTAGTAGGCAGGGGCGGCGGCGGCGGCGTATTTGGCAATAGTGGGGGCGGCGTAGCTGTATGCTGGAGCAGCGGCGTACGACAGGGCAGGAGCAGCGGCGTACTTGGCGATGGCCGGGGCGGCGTAGCTGTATGCTGGGGCGGCATAAGCCGCTGGGGCGGCATAGGCCACTGGGGCGGCTACCTTGGCCACGACTGGTGCGGCTACGGCTTTGACAGCTACGGCGGCGGGTTCTTTGTGTACTACAGCGTTGAATCCATTGTGAGGATCAGCGGTGTACTCAACGGTACGCTTGGTGCCGTCGGATTCGATGAGGGAGTAGCTTCCCTGGACGACATCCCCACGTCTGGATTCCTGCTGGCTCTTGCTGTCTCCGGTATGGGGGTCGTTCACAGCGTATCCAAAATCGTAGTGGGCTGGGGCGGAGGGCTCGGCGACGATGGTTTTGGCTACGGGAGCGGCATATGCAACAGGGGCGGCTACTTTGTATGCTGGGGTGGCATAGGACACAGATGGGGCGGCATAGGACACAGATGGTGCGGCGTAGGACACAGATGGGGCGGCGTATGACACCGATGGGGCGGCGTAGGACAGAGCGGGACCGGCGGAGTAGGAGATGGCGGGGGCAGCTACTTTGGCGTAGGCTGGTGCGGCGTAGGTGGCTACGGGGGCGGATACGCTGGAGTAGGAGACGGCTGGGGCGGCGGAGTAGGAGTATGCTGGGGCAGCAGAGTAGGCCACGGGGGCGGCGATGCCCGCGCTGGCTACTGCGATGAATGCGGCGAATACGACGAACTGAAAATAAAATTTTACGTCAGAAAAAATTTACAAATTTTATCATCAGACTTAAGGATAATTGTCCAGAAATTAATTAAATTGTAACAAAAAAAGATAAAGCTACTACAAATGTACAAACATTTTAATTAAATTTTGCTTATCTTTACATTTATTTAAAGCTTAAAGTTTAGCTAGTATCTTATTCTTTCTTATTTATTTTGTAATTCTGTATTTCTGCTATACTTTTTGTCGACGTTTCGTAATTATTATTATGACATTCTTAACATTATATGTATTGATTTCTATAAGTCAAAAATTTTAAAACTAGGTAAGGACATTTTAAATATATTTTACTTTCGTGTTTAAAATTGAAGAGATCAATATTATACCAATACCAATTTTATATTTAAAGAGACCTTACATAGTTTTACAATTTTAGGCTTATAAAACCCAACATAAAGAGACCTGAAGATGTCGTAATAAAAACCGCCAAATTTCTACAAAGTGTTTTTTTGTCAAGCTTATACTACCTACTTAATCTAAACCAAAAAAAGTAACTAGAGAAGAAGTCAAAATGTTGGTTTTATAAACTTATAGGTATTTACTTAACAAAAAAAATATTAAAAAAGGTTAATTAATAACAAAAAATCGTTCAATCGTCCAAGAAAAGAAACATTGACAATCAATCAGCGACGAGGTAAATAGTATTAACATAAATATTGCATGATAAAGTAGATATGTGAAAGAAGAAATGTCATTTGTTTGATGAATAATTTTAAAAACGAAAAAATTTAATGATTTTAGCGTCTTGAGAAATTTAGCAAAACAACAAGTAAAGAAAAAGAATTAAATATCTAAATTAACATTTATTAATATTAATGCATTCTTTGATAATATTCTACTTAAAACTGAATACCAAATAATGTCAATATTTGTCTTTCAAAGTCACGAATTTTCTAATGAAAAATGTTTGTCCGTTAAATTTATTTGTATTAAATGTGGATTTTCAATCTATATACAGTGCGTCTACTTTAAAATTTAATGTAATAAAAACTGTAAATATGGAATTTCAACTTAAAAAAAAAATAATAATACATTATTTCATATCACATGTTTCTCATGTTTATATCAAAAACTGCTTGGTTAATAAATGATAATAAAAATCGTTCGAATTCAGATCGTGACTTCTTCTTGTCAAAAACATGCGGAATTCTAAGGTTATAATTTCAAGTTGGATCTCAGAATTCAGAATAACTCAAAAATACATCTTTAGTGCAATAAACGCAAGAAAATTTGATTACCAAGCAGAAATCCAGAATTGAATTCAATGGATTTTTGTTAATTAGTTTCCAATCTCACATTTACGACCTTCTTGGATTTCCTAACAGTATCTATTATTGAGACCCTTTCTTATTAAAAAAAATTGAGTACTTTGCTTGTGATCACGTTTAAATTTGTTTAAAAATTTAACAGCCTGTATAGAAAATCAAGGAAATAGTAACGGTTTCAATAGTTTGAGTACAAGCAGCAACTTTTTAACCAATGGACTCCTTATGAATAAAACTTCTTTTTTTTTCTTTTTCAGAATACAATCGTGGAACATGCTGTATCAATGAAACAATTTAAATGATCATTTCTGTAGGAATAGAATCAACTATTGAATAAAAAATATGGAATTTTTTTAATATAATATTTAATATTCGTGCCAAAATACACGACCACTAAAGTTATAAAGTCAAAATTTAAGAAAATAAAAGAATGTTACTGCTACATCATAATTAATCTGTTAAAATTTATGTTTAGAACACTGTACTCGAAATTTCTCTACTCTTTCGAACCGCACTCGCCCTCGCACTCAAGAAAAAACAATTGCTACTCACTTTGAAAGCCATGTTTGTTTGCTCGTTGGGATCGACTCTGAGGAAGCCGGGCGGCGCTGGCTTTTATAGTAAAAAGTGGCGGAGGTGTGGTCCCTACCCGCCGGACGCGTCGAGTTTGGGGCCTTTCACCACCACCGGGCCATCGGGTCCATCGCAGGGCAACCTCCTGGATATCGCCTGGGCCTTTGTTTACGGCCGTAAATTACCAGCGCATTGCGTCAATCGCCGGCAAAAAGCGACCGAGGTAAGTGTGCGATAGATCTATCACGAAACGCTTGTGCCGATGCAGTTTTTCTGTTAGGAAACCGGATCAAATTCGCTTCACTTAGAAAAATACAAGAGATTTGTATAATAAAAGATTTTCGTAAACATTTTAGCTTTGGCCTTCTCATACACTAATGCAAACAATTAATGGATCAAAAGAATTTTCGAAATTTTTCCGTGATTTTTGACAGACTGTATTTAGGTGAAAAATGGTCGTATCGGGAATTAAAAAAAAAAAGCATTTTGAAGCTCTAAGATTCTAGTATTTAGATCTTTCAGTTGAAATTTTTTAGGAGCTACGGTTACATGCAATTCTAAATAACGCGACAAAAAAATTTTGCAAATTTTTTTATTTTCATTTTCTGGGTCCATTGCATGGACCAGATAGCTTGTTTATTCAGCTTCAATTTCCTTTTTTTTAATTTCGATACGACCATTTTTCATCGAACTATCGGACATTTAATGGAAAAGGATCCTTTTTTCTTCTATCATCGAAATCATCGATACAGTTCGATATACCCAGAAGAACCCTGTGAAGTTTCATCTCGATCTAGCGAACCGTTTCTTTGTTTCATACAGTCAAAATTTTAATAAAAATTAAAGGGTCACGTTTTTTGAGCTTCATAATCATGATTAAAATGGAAAACATTTTTGTTTTGAGGTTTTCTCACAGTTTTACCGCAAATAACGTTTGTATAAATGAAAAAAAAAAAAACCGAAAAATTTTCGACAAAATTTTTTTTTCAAAGAAAAAGGGTAGTTTTGAAAAAAACTGTTTTTTAAGTTATTACAAGCTGCACAAATTAATTAGAAATTAGTGTCAAAAAACGGTATGAATTGGGAGAAATCTGATTTGGGTACTCAACTTTAAGTTTAATTTAATTAAAAGTTGATGAACAGAAGTATATGACGGAAAAGCCGAATCCTGCTGGAAAAAATTGGATTTTGTTTTTTTCAATGCCCGGAAGGTTTTCCAAAAAAAATTAAAAAAAACTTCAAAAATTTCGAAAATTTTCGGTTTTCGATTTTTTTTTTTTTTTCATCAATTTAAACGTTATTTGCGGTAAAAATGTGAAAAAATCTAAAAAAATTTTTTTTCCATTTTAATCACGATTATGAAGTGTTTAAGCTCAAAAAACGTGTCCCTTTAATTTTTATCAAAAGTTTGACTTTGAAACAAAGAAAGAGTTCGCTAGATCGAGATGAAACTTCACAGGGTTCTTCTGGGTATATCCAACTGTAAAAGTCATGCTTAACATTAGTCATTTTGTGAATATTTCTAATTTAGCCGTCTATTTTCTAAAAAACCATAAATTACCAATTTTTCCTGTTTTTTAAAATTCGTATAAAACATGAAAAAAAATTCCGAAAAGTTGCGACAGAATGTTATAGGAAATTTATTCCAGTTTTCGAAACTGCCCTTCAATTCTCTGACGACCATTTATCGCCGAGATATCGTTGATTGAAAACAAAAGGATTATTTTCCATTAAAAGTCCGATATTTCGATGAAAAATGGTCGCATCGAAATTAAAAAAAAAAAAAGGAAATTGAAGCTGAATAAGCAAGCTATCTGGTCCAAAAAAAAATTCCAAGTCCGTGGACCCAGAAAATAAAAATAAAATAAAAAATGCATAATTTTTTTGGCGCGTTATTTCTTAGAATTGCATAATAACCGTAGCTCCTAAAAAATTTCGACCGAAAGATCTAAAAACTAGAATCTTAGAGCTTCAAAATTTTAATTCCCGATATCACCATTTTTCACCTAAATAGTCTGTCAAAAATCACGGAAGAATTTCGGAAATTCTTTTGACCCTTTAATTGTTTGCATTAGTGTATTTATTTATTTTCTTATTTCTTTATTTATAATTACACTGTAAAAATAATTTCACTCAGTTTTAATCAATAATTCAAACAAAATTGTCACCAAAATAACCGGATAAACGAATTCTTGTCCAGCACTACACGCCATACACCACGCCACGGGATGATCTAATAGAGACGATGGGAATAGACAAAGACAACGCACGACAACCATAGAATGAGCTGGGGTCACTCAATAATAAGGACATTTACTCCGATTTAGGTACAAGTGTACCAAATACGAGTATATTTGAAGAATTTATTTAACGGGTAACTATATTTGAGTAAAATACTCAGTTTTAGTTCAAATATTATCACAAATGAGTAAAATTATCAAAATGCTCAATATTGAGCGTACCTTTATTGAATTCATCTTCTTTTCCTCATTAAAATGACATATGCATGTCAAATAGTTACTTCCATAGCATGCATGTTTACTGATCCTGCATATAATCAAGATTGCCATTGCCAGTTTTCCGATGTTAATTTTATTAAATATGTCTAAATTCTCTATTACGAATTGTTATCTTAATATAAAAAATGTTTTATAATACATTCATCCTGTTCTAGACAAGGACATGTATCCCAAGCAACTTTTTTTATTATGCCCTATTATCCACTTCATTTATAGTATTACTTTTATACTTTCCTCTTAGGTCGTATAAATTACACAGCCACACAAAAAGGAAAAGTTGTCTGTACTTTTCATGTGACATATGCTATCTGTAGTATTTTTGCCTCCTGATCACGAATCCAGTGTCAGAATTAAGCTGTCACTTCACAGGAATTTCCTAACCTCAAAAAAACAGGTAAAAAATAGCAAAAATTCATGAAAAAGTGCTAGGAAAAATACAATTTTTTTATCTATATTCAAATGTTCATTTATATACCTAGTTAAGATCCCGCCCAACGTGAATCCCCGGTCAGAATAAATGGTTCTTTTTTAACCTCAAAAAACGGGTCAATTAAGATCAGATATCACGAATTTTCAAATAATAACAGATTCGCGCCAAATTTGGTATGTAAACGGGAGTTTTCTGGGTCGCTGATTACGTATTCGAGGTCAGAATTGCGAAATTCATTTTGAAATATTTTACTTTTTAACCTGAGTACCCAATCATGTGTTAACCCACTTTTTTCGGCTATATCTTGTTCTTTTTTCTGTAAAAGATCTATTCATGGGTTGAATTTTGTAAATCTGATCTCGAATTCGTGATCAGCGACCCCGAAAACCCCCTTGTACCAAATTTAATGCGAATCTGTTATTTTTTGAAAATTTGTTCGTCCATCTTGGATCTGCCGTCTTGTATTTTGCAAAATTGACCTCGGATCCGTGATCAGCGACCCCGAAAACCCACGTATACCAAATTTGGGGCCAATTTGTTATTTTTTGAAAATTCGTGATTCTGACCTTAACGTGACGTGACCTTAATTGACCGGTTTTTTTTGAGGTTACAAAAAGAACCATCAATTCTGACCGCTAATTCACGTTCAGCGGGGTCTCAACTATATAAATGAACATTTGAATATAGAAAAAAAAACATTTTTGTATTTTTCCTATCACTTTTTCATGAATTTTTGCTATTTTTTACCTGTTTTTTGAGGTTAGGAAATTCTTGTGAAGTGATAGCTCAATTCTGACACCGGATTCGTGATCAGAAAGCAAAAATACTACAAATAACATATGTCGCATGAAAAGTACAGACAACTTTACTTTTTTTGTGTGGCTGTGTTATTAGACAGTTCTTTACTTTATCTTTCAGAATTCCTCATACAAAGAACTATACGAATGATCAAATTAGGACTTCTTGCCATTCATAAAATTATAAATTTTGTGAAAATTAGACATTTACACTACGATTATTTTCCTCAAATTTTCAAACATTTGGTTTAGTTCAACTTTTAGTTTCAAGTGTTTACGTCTCTAACCATCGATTTATTCCTCAAAAATGCAATAAGATGTAAGAGTTGCTAATATCAACAGTTTTTTTAACCGACATACTCCTTAACATTGTAATACACTGTAAAAAAAAATCGGTGTAAGTGAAAGCAATAAAGGTTCAGAGAGAATCCATTGAGTAAAATTATTGAGTACATTTCCGCTCAATATTTGGCATTTTGATCGTTTTACTCATTTGTGATTATATTTAAACTAAAACTGAGTACTTTCACTCAAATATAGGCAATTAAATTCTTCATGTCAACTCGTATTTGATGCACTTGTGTATTTGGTGCACAAGTGTCCTCATTACTCAGTGAGTTTAAATGTATATTAATTTCGAATAATTTGAATGGCGCCCTGAAGATGGCACCATTTACATATTGCTTCTGTAATCAAGACCACACTTGATGCTCCAGAAAAGCGTGATCGCCAGGAGAACAAGCCTTAGCCGGCGGCGGCGGGTCTCAGCTGGCGGGTCTCAGCCAGGACAGGAGAAGGCCCTGCGAAGTGAATTAATTTCAACACTGTATCATTTATGAGTGATTTATTTTTGCACTCAATATTTAGTTAATTCAAATCCAAATGACTCAATAATATTTAAATTTAAATCATATTAGCGAAAAAATTCACTCTAAGTTGGTTTTATATGCTCAGAATAGAGTTATAAGTCGCTCAATTGATAGTTAAGAGTAACATGGATTTGAGTAAAACTCACTCATTTCTGATGCAATAGTTTCACTCAGTTGTACTCATACTGATAGAGTGAAAATTTCACTCAATTGGGTGTGGACAGAAATTGATACATTATTGAGTGAAATTTAAGTGAATTTTTTTTACAGTGTCCACAAAGAAGTCATTTTTGTTTTACTTCATTAAATAATTAAAGAACGCCATCAGTAAAACTTTCTCCTGTGTTATATTCGTCATGTTTTTACTTGTACACCATTTCTGCTGGCGGGTAAA